CTTTGTCAAACACTGGCTCGCCACAAACTGGTGGCAATTGAAGGATGTCACCAACGAAGAGGACATTCTTACCACGAAACCATTCATCTGATTCGAATAAATCATTCATTCTCATGTGTATATAAGTGAGATTAAGGCTAGAAACCATGAACACTTCATCAATGATTACCATTTTCAGATCCTGAAGTTGTTTTCATTACTTTGTGACTAGCCTTTGGTATTGACCAGTATGAGGCACACTGTCCATCGTGTTCTATTGGCATCTGAAACAGTCTATGTGCCGTTACACCTCCCACATTGTAAGCTGCTAAACCTGTTGGAGCACAGACTGCACAAGTCTGTTTGGTCAGTGTTGACCAGAGGCTTTTCACTAGTGCTTTAATTGCCTCGATAAGAATAGATTTACCAGTGCCACCCACACCACTGATAAACATGTGCAATGGCTTCACACTTTCTGATTGCTCTTTTTCTTGTTTTGATTTCTTTTCATATTCAATCTGCCTCAACAGATGAGCTTTTAAATGATCAAAGATGCTTTTCTGGTCTAGATTTGGCATTGATTCTCTCTCTTGTAGAGTCAGACTAGACCCAGTGTCCATATCTCTCACATCATTCATTGCATCTTTAATCTGTCCCATCAATTGTGGATCTTCATCTTCCACATCATTTTCCTCTTCTCTGTTGGCTGCTCTGGCATCTTGTATGTCTTTTAATTTCTCTCTACATTTGAGCAACTTTCTTAATTTTTGGTTTGCTTCGACACCGTTCGTGGTCGACAATGTGGCAATCGAATGCTTCTTGAACAGTTTCGCCATCGTTGACAAATTCATTCTCATTTCTAAATGGCACAAAATGGAGAATGATGGCATAATAGAAACTGTCTCTGATTTTCTTTACAGACATCAAAATCAACAAAGTTAGGAAGCACTCTTTCTGTAGTGGTCTATAGATTCGTTTCCCATTTTTATCCTTGCCCTTGTAAGTGAGTTTGGCTACAAAGTCATAAAGGCAATACTCTTCAAATTCTTGGGGTCTGTTTGGTTAAAAGTGAGTGACAAAGCCCTCCTCAAAAAAGTTTTCAATTGATGGATCGTTTGCTGCTATTTCTTCAACTTCACTGAGTTTCTTTGTTAAATTTTGTTTTTTTTTATGTGGCATTTCTACATTGATCCATGCTACTTCTCTCGATTTTCTGCAAAGTGGCTCACCAAGTAATATATCACATGTTTCGTATAGTCCAATTGGTTGGCTATCGAGACATCTTATGCCAATTCTGAATAATTTACTGTAGATGCCTCTATCATCTAAGATGTCTTGCCACAGATCCTGCATGTGACCCCTTTCTGCCTTTGTCACGTACCCACTCACATAATTGGCCAGAGCTAGAGAACACTCACTGGTAAACGATACATCGATATTCGCCTTCCATAGCAACAGAAGCAGAGGATTGTAATCATTGACTCTCACTTCTTCCTCGCTCTGTTTAAAGTAATGTATCCTCTTCTCTGCTTTCATGCTTTGTTAGACATTTTTCAGTACCATCTCCTCAGAAAATGGGCAAGGAATCCAAATTTGCACTTTGTAACAAATACGTTTTTTCTAAACTTTCTTTTTTTCTTACAGTAATTGTTGCACATGTGTAACTGGTACCTTGTAACAATTTGTGTAATTCTGGGCTGGTATCCTTACTTGGTATGTTACAGGTTACTCTTTCGTCTATGAAACTGATGACATCTTTGGCTCTACTCTCGCAAACAACTGGCGTGTTGGCTATCCAGATTCAACATTGATAGTTAGGAGCTCCCCTGGCCTAGTATTCTTTCTTATAATAGACCTCTCTAACCTGGCCCAAATCCTATCCCTTATTAATACTTTATTAAAAATTTCGTTAAACTTTAGAAAAAACTATCTCGAAACAGATACTGGATCTTCAGTGCAGAGTTTGCCAGTATTATATGATGGTGGGACAGTGTTTACTTCATGCAAATATTCTCTTACGTCTTCAGAGGTATATTCTGCACAGCTAAAAGTGAGTAAGAAAGTGGGAGACCCAAACTCTGCTATCATGCTTTTCACTGCATCTGCACTGCATCTTTGTTTAAAATTACATGATTATTGTCATCAAAACAACCATTGATGATCTAAAATTACAGTATCATCATTTACAGTTGATGGGGAATGTTTTTAGCATGCTTGGTAAGTGTTGCTCACAACTGGCCACATGATACGAATCACTTATTGCCAATGTATGTATTATTAACTTTTTTGATTACCCCAAGCAGCATTTCAGCAAAATGTTGACGTATATTTAATATTACAATAACAAGTGTCATAGCTGCAATTAAGTTAATACCCGACTGCATGACAGCAATTGGCAAGGACTTGTCAATATTAAAAGTAACCTTCAAATGCTTTTGTACTCCTTTATTTTTAGCAAGTTTATGTCTAATTATTGCTATGTATCTATTCTTTAGATCAATTTTTGGCTTTGCTACGTTGTATCTAGCTCTTCTGTTTTGTCTCAATTTTAGAAAATTTTTCGTATAATATGCACTGTTCTTCTGCCTCTTTTGCAATAATCTTGCTATGATTTTAGATCTCTTCTTAGCAGATATACTTCTTGTTGGTGGATTTAAGTTACGGTTATTTTATATTTTTTCTTAGCTTTGCATTTTTAGTGTCAGCCACAGCAGCATAATGGTCTTTGGCATTATCTTTCATTTGCTGACTGTCAAGCGTAATACTTATTCATATCCTTTTCCCTTTGTTCTAAATTAGAAGCATAATTATCTTTAAAACCTTCTAATCTCTCTTCACGATTAGCAATATAATTGTTTTTGAATGCTTCTAATCTCTCTTCACGGTGAGAAGTATGATAATTTTTTGAATAATCGGATACTCTGTGTTTGTTTGAGCCACAATATTCTGAATATTTCTTCCAATAATTGTACACTTTTTGTTTATTTGTGGCACAATATTGTTTTCAACATTTTTTTTTGCATAATCTAATATTTTGTGTTTATTTGGGGCAAGGTACTTTCTGGATTTTGCAAGGTTTTTTTCATGATTTTCATAGTAGTCTAGTTTTGACTTATCCCTTTTTTCCTTTAACTGTCTCTCTCTGACAGCTTCATCTTCAAGAGTAGTAGCGACCTCAAACTGTGTTGTCACACAACTCTGGCGGGTTATGATCCCACACAGACCAATCATTACATTCTAAAGGATCAGAAAGAACAAAAGGGTTTGTGTCAGCAGCAGTAGAAGCCACTACATACTCTGTGACATCATATAACTCTGGCTTATGATCATTAACAGAGCTAGATGCAACTCCAGACTGTAGCATCATCACAAACTGCAGTAATAATAATTACTATAGTTATTGATATTATAAGTAGTATCAAAGCTTATCTTTGAGTCTTCTTAATGAACCAGCACTATAATGAAGACACTTAGATAAGCAAGTAAAAGCTCTTGAGAGCAGAACTCTTCTTTACTGACACTTCAGTTCACGAGGAGTACCACAACTGAGCATGTGCAAACTGCACCCATATAGCCACACCCCCCCCGACAGTTAAATATTATTTCTATTCATATAATGCATTATCATACTATCCAATATTTATTATAAGGCCATTATAATTTGATTCATTGTTTCTCAATAAGAAGAGGATGCAGGCGGGCAGTTAATTATAATTATTAATTATAACAATTATTATTTTTAATAATTTTTGATTTTAATAATTCAATTCTCAAAAACTGATGTATAAATGTATCAATAGTCACACAACATAAGAGATCATTATTGCACGAAATTTGCAAATACTTAAGTTACTTGCAACTTCTTTTAACTCGCTTAATTGGTGGGTTTGTGCAATCTGAGCACTGGGGATAATAATCATCAGTAGTATTATTGCCTGTTGATGGTAGTAGTGTCTTGCTGCAATAAATGCAAATGACTTCACGGAACCCACACTATAATAAAGCTTCTCTATAGGATCAAAGCACTTGTGAATACGTACACACACAGACTTGAGTTCCTCTGGTAGTTCAATATTTTCAAAAGTAGCACCACAAGTACATGAAACGTCTTCTAAAATTGAATTTAATTTGAGTTTACACTGAGAACTCAGTTTCGACTTTAAAAATAGCAGCCTCCACATTTCACATTCTTTACACTGGATTAAAATACTAACATTCTTAACATGTTGCTGAGTTACATTAAAGGGGAGCTTATTCTTTTCGTTGTTGTTGGAGGCAGAAGGAAGATGTTTCTCAGTAGTTGTAGTGCCATACGATTCACTAAATGACTTGTAGTGGCCATTGTCATTCACCTCAGGATCTGGTAAATTAAATATACCTACAATAATTAAAGACAGTAAGTTTAATTATGTGTGACCACACCTTTGATATAAGTGTGAATTTACACCTCCCAAATAATGTTTAGATCTATCCAGCATGTCTTCTCACTTTGATTATGCTCTACGTACTCTACTGCAGATTCTACTGACTGATCTCAATCACCCAATCGACACGATTAATTACGTGCTTTACAATTTTACTTCATAAATTGGTACCCATACTTCAGTCATCCTACATGTAAATGCATTAGGGTGATTATTTTGTATATTTGCAAATCAAAAAAATTACAACTATTGTCAAAACCTCAGTCATGAACCACAAAAAAACAAGACCAATCTTCATTTCACATCCATGGGTGGGGCTAATGTGGGCAGGCCACGGGTGTTTATTGTGTTCAAAAAGTCTTTAAATAGAACACTTACGGACAGTTATAAAATCAATTCATCATTACTTCCTGTTTGTATAGTGTTTTGATACTATGTTTGATCTATTATATTATTCATAATACAGCATTTATGTCATAAAACCTATCATATTATGATAGTTATCATAACATAGAAGCAATAAAACTGTACTGCGCATAGCTAAGTAGGAAAGATAAGTACTGCGCAGCACCTGTACCAGGTATTCTATTCAAATAATAGTTCAGGTGGTCTTGTTCAGTGGTCTCTAGTCATAACAAAGAAGTTTTTCTGATAACATAAAAGGTATGTAAATGAAGATCTAATGTTAGTGCATAGTGTAATGCTATTACAAAGTTGTTAACATTTTTTAAAAGTGAAATATGACTTGTTAAAAATTTCAAAAATCGATGATTCAAATGGAGAGCTAGAGAGGAGAAAGACAAGAGAAAATGAGACTGAGAGAGCAACAGAATGAGAGAGAAAGGAATGAAAGTATATGATAAGTTATTAAAGCATGTATTGCTCTTAGAATGACTACCAAGCATCAAACATACCTAGAAAATCACTGTCGTCTATGTGCTAAGTCACTAGGAAGAGTACGACATTGCTATAGAGATATTTTATCATTCATGTCTATTTGGGGAGTTGATCCAATGAGTGATTCTGCCGATATCCAACCAGTTCATTTCTGTCACAGCTGCTACGTTACTGCAAAACGTATAACTTCATCAGGAAATCAAACGAAGCGTACTCCTGCTGACTGGTTCCCACACAATAGTATATCTTGTACAGTGTGTGACATTCTTTGCAAGGGAGGGAGACCAAAACAGAAATACTCAAGCGGCCGACCTACACTTCTGATTACACATATTAAATCTGTTGCAGGTGACATTCCACAGTTTAAGCTTTCGCAGCTGGCAGACGAGAGGTATAAGGAAGATGTAACCTGCAAATTATGCTCAAGTGCAGCCAATAATCCCATAGAAGTCTTGCCCTGTAAAACACTACTCTGCTGTAACTGTTGTACTTCAATAGCAGCTTCACCGTCTTTCTCTTGTCCAGGTTGCTTTTGTCGTCATGAGTCAATCTCAACCACATTCACCAAGCCATCCAGTCTGATAGAGAGAGTTTTTAATGACATGAAAGTTACATGTGAAGGATGAAACAACATAGTGCCATTAGAATCAGCTGGAAAGGAATGCTCTCATCAACAACCTATTGTGTCGAACAAGTCAGTAGGGAAAGCGGTATCACAAATGATACATGAGAGTGAGAGTGGTACTGTTACAATATCAACAGGAGGCAGGGTAAGGTAATATATATATTTGAAAGTACTTTACCAGTGTATTTTAGCCAATTAGTCTAACAAAGATCACAAATTCCTCACTGAGCAGTGGGGAATCATCACAATCAACAAAGAGAAGGAGTAGTGAGCTATCAGTGATCAGAGAAAGGTTAAGTGGAAGCAGTTCAAAGGAGCAGTTACTGGATGAGATAAAGTTGATACCTAACGAGGAAAAATAGAGTTTAATGAAGGAATTGAACTTTACTGTTCATATCTCAGAGGAGCAAAATCTAGCCATGAAAGCA